TGTCGGCGAGCTGCAATAATACAAGTGAGTCGGGCCGTAAAATTCAGTGGTTATTATGATGTGGCCAGTCTGGCAATGACTTTGACGCCATGAAGTCGTTCCATGACAATCGAACGATGACGTATTGAAGAGCATATTTCCTAAACAGCCATTTTTTTGCGTGGAGCAGTGTTTGTATCTTTTATTTGCATCACACCAATAGTTACCAGTGAACTTTTTCATTATATCTAAAGCTTGCCTCAAGATCTTCAAATGTGAAATATTCCCTATAAGCAGTTTACTCTTTAGCCGTTCGCCAAGTCGGCATGCTGTCTTTTTTACGTGCCACCGTTTGTGGTATGTGGCCCTTTTTGCGGAAAGTTATGTCACCTTTCAGATTTTTGGTATGTCACCATTTTCTCGTGCCGCCGTTTTGCAGTTTGCTATTTAACCGATTTGTCCTTTTGGTCCGTCAACTTTTTTTACATGTCGCCAATATGGAAGTCGTTACATGACAGCCGACACTGAAAGAATGGCGAATGAAATCGCATTCGGCAAACTGTAAGTTGACTATTTATCTGGACACCACAAACACCGACGTGGTGAAAACATGTTGTTGGGAGATTTTTGATGTGTGTCTGCGGGTCTACGAGGCAAAGATGTGAAAAAAACGGCAGTCGCTTTCTGTCCTGTTCCCCGCAGAAGGAAGGGAACGGGAGCAATTGGTAAGTAACCAGAATCATAAGCACTTGACGCAGCCGTCAAAAGATCGAATGTGGATTATCCACTTCATGTAGCCTTGAAGAAACTCGTGTTTTTATTTCTCCCACTTGAGCTTTTCGTTTTTCATGTCGTCATTTGGCCTTCTGTCGTTTTAGAGTGTCGCCATTACACCCTGTAGCTCTTTGTTCAAACATGACTTGTAAGTAGTTCAACGACATTTAAGTGTTCTCCGATTTTGCGTATCATCCTTTTTACGTGTCGTCATTTTGCAATTCGCCAGTTAGCCGCTCGTCATTTTGGCTTGTCGACTTATCGGTATGTCGTCATTTTACAGTTAGTCATTCGGCGGTTCGCCATTGCGGCATGCCGCTATTCTTCCACCCAGCCATTTTGAAGTTTGCCATTTTGCCGATTCGACTTTTTGGTACGTCGACATTTCACGAGTCGCCAATATGGAGGTCGTGAGGTAACAGTCGACAGGAAGCCATTCGGCAAATTGCGAGTTCATTTTTTGACTAAAGGCCCATCCAGAGATGAGCCCGAATTTCATCTTGATGGGTGACTTTGGGAGGACATGGCTTTTTATTTACAGCAGGTCTCGCTGTGGTGAATGTTCCAATGCTGCAAGGTCGGAATCGGGTGGCAGTGTTCGATGACAGGTATTTTTCCACCCTGCGACCTGGAATATCACATTCAAATGTGACATTGAGGAGTCTGGAGTTTTTGACGGACGCTAGGTCTTTCTGCGGTGAAAATTGCGATCGTAAAAAGGTTCAAATTGACCAATGATTTTTGGTGACACGGAATTTGAATTCATTTGTTATTACGTTTGACCTTGAAGGTGGCCTTGACCGACCAAGTTTTGAGTAGACGTTATTTCATACGCTGGTGATGTTTCTGATGCTTATAAATCCGAAATCGAACAGTAATATTTTGTGGTACGGAGTAACCCGTCCAACAAGTGTGCACTTGACCTTGGAAGGTAGCCTTGGAAAGTTACCCTTGCTTCTGCCGCATTTTTCTACTTTTTGAAATTTAATTTATCTTTTCTCAAAATAAACATACATTCCATTCAATAAGTTGGTCGAAATGGTCCCTATATACAATTTTCATGCGCACAAAATAAGTGTTCTTCTTTTTGTGCCAAATTATATTCTGTCACACTGCCTGCCGAGTCAAAACAGCTGACGTCGCCCGCCGGTTAGCGGCAAAATATATGTACTGTGCGCCAGAATTTACGTGTCGTGGTTGTTCGTGATTCGCGGATGGGAGAGCGGGCAGAAGGCCGGCTGGAATACGCGGTAGCGTGCGTTGGTAAATGCATGGCACATTTTGTTGATTTCGCTGTGATTGCGCCGTTTTCAATACTTACGACATTTGCTTGAAAGAATTAAGCAGTATCTTGGTTATGACTGCGGATTGAGGTGGATGTAGCCATCAGGTCGTAAAGTTGTAAACGGGATTTACATTACTTCATGGATGGTCAGTAAGGGCCTGACACATCAGAAATGCTGCAGATCAGCGATACTCAAAGTGAGTAGCATGCTACATATATCCCTTTCAGGAACAGTTCTTGCAGAGACGATCCTTGGTGCAGCATCCGCTCAATGGTTAGAGGTGTTCATTTGTATTCTGTTGTGAGGTCTTTTCCCTTCCCCAGTCCTGGTTGGCTTACAGCATTTGTCATTGCTGAAAAATGAAGGAAAGGGAAATGTGGCACAAAGTTGATTGGTCAACAACTTGTTCAAATCTGTTTTCATTTGTGTGATGCATAACAATGCAGAAATGTTAGTGGAATGTGCCTGAGGTACTTTTTTGTATCACTCATGTTTGTGTGCTCACAGTTCATGCTACCTGCATTTTCATGTATGATCCCGATCTCATGCATGAATTCCATGGTGCATCCCATGGTTCTGTAAGCATGACTGCCATATATGATGGCTGTCAATTGGCTTTCAATGTTGTGCAAGGTATGATGATGTAATCAAACAATGGTGTTTTGAGGAGTGGATATTCTGAACATAGAAACTGTATTTCATAGAGCAGCCTTTTCCACTGAAAGTATACCAACAGTTAAAGGTGAGCTAATTTCATCACATTTGCTGCATACTCCAATATCTTTAAATATGCAATATTCTCATTGCAGCTTTCAGCTAGGAAAGTTGATGCGATGTAGGTCGACCTCAACATCAGTGCATCCTTAACCCCAGCCATCATTATCACATCTTTTAAGATTTGGTCTAAACCTTTTGAACAATGGATTTTGTGATCAGTACTCATACTGTGCAAAGCTTGTTGCATGCAGCATCATGAAATTGTGAGTCTGGGGCAGAGTTGTATGGTAAAAACTTTGCCAGCCATGTTGTGTGGTGTGGTTGTCTTACCCTTTGATGTGACCTCACCTGACATTTAGGTTGGCCTCAATCACTGGATACAGATCATTCCAGTCAGGGACAAATATCAAGCACCTGAAGTGACTTAAACCCACCCTGCCATGGGTGGGGGAGGGGGATTGAAGGCTAGGCTCTCATATGACTGAGACACTGGGACACAACATTCAGTATCTGATCAAAATTGAAGCTGCAAAAGGCATTATGTTCAGTTGTCCAGCTAGGCATATTGATACAATATAACTGGTAAATGCTCTGGTCCACACTGGCATCAGGTAGCCTCAGGGAATTATGAAATGGTGCTCTGCAACCAGCTGTGTAAGCTGGGATGTCAGAGAGCTGTTTAATATCTACACCTCAGAGTTTGAGCACTGCTTTACAGCTGGCCTATAGTAATTATAAGGGCCTGCATGGGTCAAGTTGTGTATTTCGTGTGCATTTTGTGTGTGGTATCAAATGCCTTCAGATGCATGTGTCTTCATATTGAGTTTGTTATTGTAAGACTGTGACTGCACTATCTACCTGATGTTTCATCTTTCATAGTAATATCCCTGCTAGGTTCCTTGCTTTCTCAAGGCTTTTCACAGGGATGCAGGAAGTGAAGATGGCAGGAGGTATAGGAACTGACACAATGGTCATCTCACAGCTTTGTACAAGTCTAGGATTTTTAGGTATGCTCTTGTAGCTTCGCCTATTGCTTGGGGAAAAGGTAACACTAGTCCACATGTTTCCTAGCAGATTATAGGATTTATCACATGTTTTGGGTCTGCAATGGGGCATAGCTGAAATGAGTCAAGTTATTAAGAGCTGTACCACTATGGTTGCCTCCCATGCTTCCTGCACAACAAGTGGCAGCATTGTTGGGATTGGATGGATGGCAATAAGCTTCGAGAGATAGAACCTAGCTGGGTCAGTGGTTTTCTTGTTTCCGCAAAACGAGGCGAGAAGAGGTGATCCTCTGCAGATTACGCATCGGGCACACGTACGCAACCCACGGCTATATGTTGGAGGGAGCTGATAAGCCCATCTGTCATCGATGTGGTGCTGTTCTTACTGTTCGGCATATCGTTGTATCTCGTCCGCGGCTCGTGGAAGAATGCCAACGTTTCTTTAAACAGCATGACTTGCCCTTCACCCTCTGTGATATGCTAGGAGACAACTCACACTTTCTGGAATCTCAACAGATCTTTTTGTTTCTCGAACACATCAACTTTTGGATCATTTATGCGGCTCACTAGATAGATAGAACAAAACTCGTTATGGGCGCCAAATGACCACCGCAGTCGGCGCGCCCGCAAACTCCAGCAATCAACAACAACCTTACCTCCCACTTTAATATAATACGCGAAATGAGCTACAATGACCCCAGCTACATACAAATGCAAACATGCAAACAGTAGACCTGGCATATGCTTGAACAGTCCAGACGTGATCGTTGAAGATTCGGTATCGCAATTCACCCGTCTTCACTTCAAATTTTGACCTATCGTGACCGGGCAAAGGAGTAATCACAGCACCGCCGTAATTGTATCGGGTCACCTTCCGGCACTGCCTCCACTGTCCCGGCAGTGGTACCGTTGGGGCAACCGACTGTCGTGCTTAGATTACCACTGGATACCGTCGCCGCCGCTCCTCCCCCTCCACGCTCTTCCTACCGTGACCTGGTTGCCGGTACCGCCGGGCGGGTTATCAGCCGTCACCGCGGAGGAGGGGAGGGGCCCGAGATTGGCAGCGCGTCGCGTGGCCGCTGGGGCCGGCCGGCTCGGTCGTCAAGTGCGCAGCCTGGTGGACCGCCGGCCGTATGTATCGCTCCCGGGGCAAAGTGTCGGTACCGGGGCAAAGGCCGACGCTCGCTGCCGAGGCGGCGTCCCAGCCTGCGGCCGGCGACAGTGCGTGTGCACCATCCGGCTGGCCTCCGTCACCAGCGCCGGACGGCGGGCGGCGGTGCGCGTGTGTGTCAGACCGTGGTCAGAGGGTAGCAGCCTCCACTTGGACCTGGAGAGGACACCCGTTGTCTGTTCGGCGGAGAGCCGGACGACTGGCTGCAGGCTGCGGCCGTGACCCAGAGAGTGTACCGGCCACCGTGGCCCAGAGGGCCGAGTGACGTTCGGTCCGTGCCCGTGAGCCAGGGAGGGCCGGCGCAGGCCCGTTTAGCGGCTGCTTCGACGCTGTCTTAGTGCCGGCGAGCCGGGCGAGCGAGGCGGGAGGAGCACGGCGCGCTACCCTGGCTCGCCGCCCCGGCTGGCGGGCGGCATGTTTCCCGTTATCACCATGGAGGAGGGTAGGAGCCCTACATGTGAAACGTAAATGCCCGTGCGGGTGCGCATAGGCGGCTGTGACGTCACCGAGTTTGATGTCACTTGTGGCGTTGCTGGTTTGACATTCATAACTGGGAGCTTTTCCCCGAGCGACCGCAACTAAAATTTAGTCAATGTTGGTGCCGATTTACCGAATGTCGACCGTTTCATTTGCGACGTGGCTGTGGGTTCCAGGAAGTGACAATACACCTTGATCATATCCAGAGTGGGTTTGCTTGTCCTAATGGTTGATAACTGCGTGGCAAGAACGAATTCAAGGCTGGCATTAATACACAGGTGGTACACAGGTCACCTGAATTGCGCACCTACTTTTTCAACAAGGCGACTGCCACGGCCTGTGTGTTGGTATTCGCTCTAGGGAGGATATTTTGATCCCAGAGGGGCGGCAGGGAGCCTTCTGCCGTGGCCCGCTGCGTTGCGGTGTAGCATGGCACGACATCCTTTACATGATCGGGCTGATCGACTGGACCGATGGGCCATCCGAGCCACTCGCGGAAAGTCTGGGCAGCCGCACAGTCAGGCTGGGAGTATTGCGTATGTGCCTGGTCCTCAGCTCTCTGCTCTGCTCTGCTCTCTGCTCTGTCCCCGGCTGTCATTGGCTGTGTGCGGTAGCTGGGTCATGACCGTGCTGACGCCGCACGTAGCGTATCAGGGACTTCTGCTTTGTGTTGTTCCCTGATACGGCCCTTCCATTATATGTCCTTTTGTCTTCTTACGTGTCCGAGGTATTCGGTTGCACCATGTGGACGAAAATTGGGAACCGATTTTAACACCACGCACTTTGATGCCATCGCCGTGTCCTGCAGACATATGTCCTAATCTTCGCGCTCGGCGTCAAGTGGTCTTATGGCAAGTGACCGACGGGTCTGGGTAATGACGTCGGCTCGACTCGAGAGGGAACCGCGGGTGTTGTCCATCTGCTGCTCGAAATGCGAAGCTTGACGCCCTTGTCTGAAATCTGTAGCTTTCAGAAGTTAGCATATTTATTCGGTCTGCATGTGCTTATGACTTGTCGGAAAGTTGGTTTATGTTTACACGCCACCTTTTCAGCTCATGTCGTCCTTCCCGCGGGCGCCTCTGCTCAGCTGTGTGCTTGTGCGTAATTGCCCTGACCACTGTCCCGTTTTCAGAGATCGGCATCGGGTTGGTGGGGTTCGGCGTGGCCTTCCTCTTCCTGGGCGTGCTGTTCTTGTTCGACAAGGGCCTGCTGGCCATCGGGAACGTGAGTGCGCGGTGCAGTAGCCGGTTTAGTGGACGGTGTAGTGGACGATGAAGAAGGCGGCGTAGTGTGTGTGGTGGGCGGTGTGGAAGTTGGTGTAGTGGGCGGTGGAGAAGGCGGTGTGGTGGGGGTGGAGAAGACGGTGTAGTAGGTGGTGTAATGGGCGGTATCGTAGGCGGGATGGTAGGTGGTGTAGTGGTTGGTGTAGTGGGTGGTGAAGTAGGCGGTGTAGTAGGTTTTGTAGGGGGTAGTGTTTTGGATGGTGTAGTAGGTGGTGTAGCGGGCGGCATAGCAGGCGGTATAGCAGGTGGTGTAGTAGGCGGTGACTGGGAACAGCAGTCAGAAGACTACTGCGACGCCTCTCGACGGACGTCTCCGCTGCCAGCCGGTGTGGGGTGGCGGGAGCGAAGCATACAAGCCGCTCTGCCGTTGTTTACGGGCTGTTGCCTCTTGACTCAGTGCATTGTATACAGGTTGTTTTAGTGCACTGACGCGTAGTGGAATATTTGTGTCTTATATAGGTTGTTTGGGTCAATCCTTTCATGTGTGGTTGGAGGGCTGAAAAGAACGCCGTTTCTGGGCTGCAGTTCGGAAATCATGTACCATTGACTATATTTGCGACTTGACTCCTAACCGTTACTTATTCACCCATGTAAGACCTAATGAATTCGTTTGCGGATCGGGGAGGAAATGCTGGAATTACTTGGGCACAAATGTGTTCCGCGGGGTTCATTGTACTGTCTTCTGTAGATGGTTTTACAACTGGCCGCGTGCTTAGTACGGTGTAGGAAGCCCTACGTCTTTGTTAGAATGTCTTAAAGTGGTTTTCAGGTCTAAGACACAGGAATGTTGGCGGGTGGAGAAGGTCGGAATCGGTGTTCTTCCATAGTTGTGGGATGCGGCCGTCATGATTTTCCGCATGACGTTGGTGTAATGACTTGCAAAGGTCGTTCTGTCACATTTGTATCTTTGTAAATTTGTAGACTCAGAGAAATTCTGCTCTCGGAGAAGCTGAGAAATGAAATTTTAAAAGGAAAGGGTCGTGTTTTTGAGCAGGGCTTTTGATAGCGAATGTCTTTCCCAAAGCTTTTCATGTAATTTCGCTCATACATGGCACGGAGAAACGATGGAATACGCTATGGAACCTGCCTTTTAGTCTTTGTTAGCGCGTGTGTCTCGGCGAGTTTTTTTTTGTGTCTTGGTTGTAATTTGGTGCAGAAACCGCCGCAACTCGTTTGGCACCAATTACGACACGATCGGTCAACTACGCTTAGATTATATGTGAGGAAGTTGGGCTGAAACAGAAATTGTCCGGGGCTTGGTCGCTCGGAACCTCTCACATATGGTTTACGGCGTTCGTTCACCAGTCGCAATGTTACCGTTTTGAAATCCACATGTGTTGGCCCGTGGCACCTGGCTGGGGTTCAGGAATATTTGGCTGCTGCATTACTGTGACCCTGTGCCGCAGCCCGTTCTGTCCGTCAGATGCTGTTGCCTGATAATGTCTTGCGCTGCAACCCGTCCCTGGATTGTGCTGCCGCCGCTGTCGCCTCCTGCCGCCGGGCGACCTGCATTCGTACGACGAAGTCTGACACCCGTTATGATTCGGTCTCGCCGCCGACTCTGTCTGCAGATCCTCTTCCTGTCGGGCCTGGCGTTCGTGATCGGCCTGGAGCGCACGTTCCGATTCTTCTTCCAGTCGCACAAGGTGCGCGGCTCGGCGTCCTTCTTCGGCGGCATCCTCATCGTGCTCCTCGGCTGGCCGCTGGTCGGCATGCTCGTCGAGGTCTACGGCTTCGTCGTTCTTTTCAGGTATGATATGAACCGCGCTGCTGCCTTCCCGGCTGGGCTCGTGCGGCGTGTCTTTCCGCGTTAAATGGGGTGCTAGGTTGGCCTCCACTCTCTCAGTCTCTCCCACTCTCTTGGTTCTGAGCCGTCATGTAATGTCTGTGTTTCGCTTGGTCGTCTGCGTGGAGCTGAATGTGATGTTGGGTAGTGAGGGATGCAGGGGGAAGATGACATGCCCCCCTCCCCCCCCCCCTTGGACCGGAGAGGCACCAAGATCTCGCGGCGATGAGGTGCCGCAGTCTTTATTTCCGGTCTACGTAACCCATATTTTAAGACGTAATTAGTTAAGGGGCACCTCAAACCGCTTTAACTATCAAAGTTCGGCAACAGAATGTGAAGTGGAACTCACCTGTAGAAATAAATCGGACTAAATCCGTGGAAACATTCCGATGAAAGACGCTTTACGCTTAATTATAAGTAATAAAAATAAAGTTGCCGAAATCCGGGGAACTCTTTGTGAGGGGGGCCTTATGAAGCGTGGCCCCATCCCTCGACGAAATCCTGGATTCGCCCCTGGTGGTCGGTAAGCGTGGGGCCATCTTCATACTAACGGGAAGTTATACGTTGCCCAACTAATTCGACGTGATGGCTTCCATCTCACCATTGGGAAATAAGCACAGCAGTGAGACAGACAACAGCCATTCAGTGCCGCATCATTCAACGTGGACGGAAGGGAATTGAAGCTGGGCGGTGTCTTTCAAGCTCCCACATATCGGGCATAGCTGCCAGCTGGTTTGGTGTCGGTGCGGGAGGTGAAAGCAAGCAAAGTCGGTGATCTGCAAGCATTTTCTTGGCGATTTGATGTCATAGCTTCGTTAGGATGTTGCAAAAGGTGATGTGCGTTTGTAATTACTGTTGTCCACATTCGCTATCATGCACTGAAGCCAGCCATCTGGCATGTGTGAAAGCCTGCTTGTAGCCATCGGCAAGCTTGTTGGGGTAATCGTTTTTGACGCAACTTAAATCATGATCGAACGGCTTTTGAACCAACAGGGGCTGTTGTCAGCAGTCCTTAGGGTAAAATCGGGGGGGGGGGGGCCATAAGAACCTATGGGGTGCAGTGAGGTTCACGTGCCCGAACCAAATTCTGTTTAAGCTCAAGATCATCCCGCGCAGGGGGAGAGAGAGAGAGAGAGAGAGAGAGAGAGAGAGAGAGAAGAGAGGAGAGAGAGAGAGAGAGAGAGAGAGAGAGAGAGAGAGAAGAGAGGAGAGAGAGAGAGGAGAGAGAGAGAGAGACCGAAATGATAGAAATGATATGTATAGTGTATATGTATATATATATATATATATATATATATATATATATATATATTATATATATATATATATATATAGCGCAACAATTCAAGTGCAACATCGAAGGCTGCAAACTTCGTTCCATACACTGCATTGGCGTCACCACAACGACACTCTCACGACACCTGACAATGCACTTACGTGATGGGGCACCTCTGGACATCATGCGACACGAACGCGACGTGATATTGACACGACGACAACTGACAGACAGCACTGACATTTTACGGACGTGCAATGACAGAAGGCGCCTCCAAATTTGGGAAAGCATATTCATGAACGAACTCTCTCCGGCCCTACACAGACAGACAAATGCCTGCACAACTCTCGAACTATTAGATGGTGGGCTGTGAGCACTACTGATGCGATTGTGGCAGTAGTGTTCTCATTGTGTCTTTGTAGTGTTCCCATTATGAGTGTTTTTTTATATGTATCAAAGTGAAAATAGGATTCTGTCTTACTTTAATGAGTTATGTTTCTTTTATGTTCTCCGTACCAAAAGATGTTTTCCAACAGTATTACACAATGTTTATCCTTTAAAACTCAAAACTTGTTTTTTGTGCCATTTGGTCCTCTCCGGCGATGAAAGAGGATCTCGAAACGTTCGAATGTTAGGAGCGATGAATCTTTGAGTAATTTTGTGCGAACCATCTTTAATTTAAGCGATGATGCCAGGTCCAAGACCCGGAAACTAGAACGATGCGTCAAAAAGCTCGTCAATGCTGAATCAGCAGTTATTTTTAATCAGACACATTATATATATATATATATATATATATGGAAGAATTGTAAGGTGTTTGGACTCGACGTCTGGCCACTCAGTGTTGAGAGGGAGGTGGTCGGTGGGTGGCAGCGCCGCCCGTTCGTCCTAGTGAAGTGCTCGTTGGCGGTGTGGCGCAGCTGGAGCCCAATGGTGGGACGACCATTTTGTTCCCCTCGGGTGTCGTGAAAAAGACCGGAAACGAGGCCGGTGATGGGTACAGCTGCACTGGCGATTCATTTCGGCCCAAGCCATGTACCGAGTGCTTCTCACCATGGGTTCGCCGCTAGGCCGGCTCGTGTAAGCGCGTGGGATGACTGCGTTGGGAGTGGCGTGCAAAGCTCGGGCTACAAGCCTGCCCATGCCCAGACGCTTTAACTCTCGTGATAGTGACTGCAGTGGCATTGTTCGACGAACGGTCGGATTGATACCGTGTTTGGTTATGACTGACAGCTTTTGGTGGGCTCGTTGCCGAGATATGATCTGGGCTCCTGGCTGCAAATATGGGATGATTCGGTACTGCATTGGCAGAGGCTTGATTGTTGGAAGTTTGCAGTGGATTGCAGAAGAGGCAGGTTGGCGTGGCCCGAGTCCGGCCGTGCTGGAGGGAGGGTGCCGTTGTTGGTTAAACCTCTGGTGGGGGCCGACTTAGCGTCCGGCGTTGTGTGCATGCGGCGATGCTCCTCCCCAGCGCCGTCCCGTCTCCAGCTGGTGGGGGAGCCGAGTGCCGCCGTCCGCCCCTGGGACCGCCGGCTCCGGCCCGACTGTCGGGAGGGGGGGGGGGGGGAGGGGAGGTCACAGGTGCCAGCCGTCTGGCAGCGGACCGGCTCCGGCCGACTGTGGGCAGTGCCGCTGTCGCCACCTGTCCCGCTTTGATCGGCGTCTCGTGCCACGATCGACCCGCCGGCGCGCCGGCCGCTCTCCGGGTCACGCCGAGTGAGCGCGGCTTGAGGAGGGTGACCGGTGAATAGAGGGTCGGCAGCCTTCCCTCACGGCCAGCGGTGAATAGAGGGTCGGCAGCCTTCCCTCACGGCCAGCGGTGAATAGAGGGTCGGCAGCCTTCTCTCACGGCCAGCGGTGAATAGAGGGTCGGCAGCCTTCCCTCACGGCCAGCGGTGAATAGAGGGTCGGCAGCCTTCCCTCACGGCCAGCGGTGAATAGAGGGTCGGCAGCCTTCGTGCGTCTGCTGGCGTACGTCGCGCCCCTTTTCATAATCAGAGCAGTGTAACACATCCGACATGTTCGACACGTTACATGAATACGTGAATGTGTTTTGCTATGATTTTTACCAGAAGTTATCGGGGATGTGAGAACTAAGCGCATCATAATGCGTATCCAGTGCCTAAAAGAAGTTTTGGCTCAGCATGGTCTTGGCAATTTTCGCCGGTACATAACTTGTTCTGTCTTATTGTCTGTGTTTGAGTCACGGTTGGTGGCATAATTTCCGATGTTCTTTGTTACAGCGGATTCTTCCCTGTCGTCATAAACTTTTTAAGACGGATTCCAGTCATAGGGTCATTTCTGAATCTCCCCTTCATTGGTCCAGTAAGTGAAGCAATGTTATCTTGTTTTGACCATGCGCGTGGACTTGACCACATACGCGTGGCGCCTAGCTATTGTCCAGTATCGGAATCGTTATTTTGAGCGTGCTAAAATAGATGTTTGTGTCGCTGTGTTTTGACTTGTTTCAACTAAGAAAAATCGCCGAACATACGGCTTGCCGTGGCACATCGTGCTACAAAATGGCCCCTTCAGATGTCCCGGTGCGCTGTCACAGCTATCGCGTTTGATGACGGCGGGTCTTGTTTCAGTTCCTGGACAGAGTGTCGGGCGACCCGTCGCGGACAATGGTGTGAGCCGAACGGTGCCGTGCTGCCACCTGCGGGCAGGCCGCGGCAACGCTAGTTCTTCGAATTATCGCCGAACGAAGGGGCGTTACGTTTATGTGTGGTGAAGCCATCCTGTGTGTGGGGTGTGTTTTGCCCCACATGTGTGGCGTGCGTACGTCGGTAGCGGGCGGATCCGGCCGGGTCTGGTGACGCTGTCGGGGCAGAATGAGCCGCGCGCCGCCTGATCGCCGCCCGTGCCCCGTCCAGTGGCTTCCCCGCTTGTGTGGCCCGACTCTGTCCGCTGTGTGCTACGGTGCCGGGCTGCTGATATCGGCGCACGATTGATCGTGTTGTTCAGATGATTGTTCAAGGTGCAGGCGAGTGGCTGGCGTGTTGGAAGACCAGCAATTTGGCTACATGGGACAAATGGGACATGCTTTCAAAACTGTCGCGGCTGGCAGGTGAAAAACAGTGTTGTGGCCAGGAAAGGGTGTGCTAGAAGTAATTTTCGTGTGTTGGAAGCCCTTCACGCGTAATTTTGGTCAGATTTTCCTTACGCCCTTGTATTTTGGCCTGCTCCAACCAAAACATACAATTCAATGCTTGTACTATATGTACAGCTGCAGATGCACTGCGTTGTTGAATTTCAACCACCCCAGCCCCCCCCACAGAACGTGTTTACCCCACGGAATATGCAGAGGTGTGTATGATTACATGCTATGCATCCACGTGTGTTCCAAATATGAGCTCTTCTTGGTTTGCCCGTGCTTCAGGGCACGCATGTGTGGTCAACCTCCACTGGCGAAAACATTTTCCACAATGCTCTGGGCGTTCCTGGCCCCAGGCCCGGTGACGCGAAGTGCCGCTCGTCGGGAACACCTTACCGTCCTACAGAGGGCCCGCCGCTCATAATAATCCGATATAGAAGCATTCACACATTTTACACCACCCACACGACAGAAACACGACGTTGGAAGGAACGTTGCTGGGCTTGAGAGCCATTCTGTTGGGCACTCCACAAAGTTAAAACTTCTTCCGACGTCGACCTTCCGCAGCTGCGTTTTGCATTTAGCGGAACTTTTCTATGGCGTCCAGGCAGGCATCTTCATCTCCGAGTTTGCTGTCGGCCGATTTTTTTTTTTTTATTTTTTGGAAGCTCCGTACGACCTGAGCCCCGTCGGCAAGTCGAGCGCGTGATGACCTTGCTGAGTGTACGGGTCGTAGCGCACCGAAAATGGGCGTGGAATGGTGGGGCGAAGTTTCTGAAAGCGGGAATACGATTAGCTGTCTTTCAACAGTGCGCTTTGCTGGAGTTTGCACTCAGCGCGGTTTGCATTGGGCATGTTGGTAGCCTGTCTGGGAAAACGGGGCGTTGTTATTCAGCTATTACGACAGTGGCAACATCGTAACCCAGACTGACGCAAACTTGCTCGTAGTTTTACGACTGATAATTTTTAAGAACGTGATGGCATATTCTATTTCACATTTGATCAAACCGAATCGTTTCGGTCGTACCAGCGAGCTACTATTACACAAGGAGAATGATGCCTGGGGCACGCCACGGAGAAACGCGCGGGCAGCTACTCACATCATCTTGTCCTTGGCGTCCTCCTCGAAGCTGTCGCCACGTAGTACACGGGCTGGTACTCAGTGATGGGGTACTTCTGCACGCCCGTCTTCTCGGGCACGACTCGCGCACGTCCGGCTTGTCGGAGAGAACAGGTACTCGAGCTCGCCGAAACGACGAGAGCAGACCGGCGCCGTACGCCTTCAGCTCGTTGTCTTGCCCGGCACAGGCCGAACTCGACCGTGAACCAGTAGCACTGCGGTGCAGAGATTAACCGTGAGCCAGCAGCGGTGCGGTGCAGAGATCGACCGTCAGCCATCAGCACAACGGTACAGAGACCGTCATGAACCAGTAGGAGTGCGGTATGGAATCAGCCGTGAGCTAATAGCACTGCACTATAAACGTCGACGTCGAGTCAGCAGAATCGCGGTGCAAAGATGGAGTGAACCAGCTGTGACAAACCAACAAAGATGGAGAGTGAACCAGCTGCGCTGCAACAACATGGAGATCGGCTGTGGACCAGTCGCACTACATCCAATGTAAACACTGACCGTGAGCCAGCAACACTGCAAAGTGCAAGGGAATCAAATGTGGACCAGTGACACTGTGAGCTGGTGACACCGTGACACACATAGAAATCAACTGTAAGCCGGTACTACCGCGGCACATGCAGATGTCAACCTGAGCCAGCCAGTATAGCTGCAGCGTGTGGCGGTACTCGCACATTCACCGTGAACCAGGGAGCCTTGATGCATGAATTGACCCCGGTCCTGAAGCTCTCGCATTGCGTCAAACGATTCGGCCGCGTGCCAGTACCATCGTCACGCGCAGATGAAACGTGGCCCTGACGCTGTGACGCATGTAATCCCGAGCAAGCTCTACATCTTTCCCAAGCTGACAGCGACTGTTAACCAACAGCCGTACAAAACCACAACGAAATCAGCTGATGTATCGCTGTTGACCGCCAGCTAACTTCAACCAAATCAGCTGATGTATCGCTGTTGACCGCCAGCTGGCCCACAACGAAATCAGCTGATGTATCGCTGTTGACCGCCAGCTGGCCCACAACGAAATCAGGTGATGCATCGCTGTTGACCGCCAGCTGACCCGCAACGGAATCAGCTGATGTATCGCTGTTGACCGCCAGCTGGCCGGTGTGAGCCAGTTGGCCGTCGTCGCCCGGTACGCGGCCGGTGTCAGCCACTCACCGTGGCCAGCTTCTCCACGTATTCGTCTGGTGCGCCGAGCGAGGCCAGGCCGATCTCCTGACTGAAGCGGGCGAAGCTCGGGTCGGCCAGCAGCGGCACGTGACCCAGCACCTCGTGACACACGTCCGGCTCAGGCGTGTAGAACGGCCGGCTTGGATGCCGGATGTACTGGGTCGAGTGGAACACGCGGAACGCCAGGCCCGCCAGGAAGTCGCGCGACGACAGCAGGCCGGCCACGGGACGCAGGGTGAAGCCCGTGCTGCCTGCGCAGCAGAAGAGCACGGCGTGAGGCGGAGGGAGGGGGTGCGGTACAGCGGGGAGTTACGCTGTTTGCGAAGCGCAGGGGCACGGCGTGAAGCGGAGGGAGGGGGTGCGGTACAGCGGGGAGTTACACTGTTTGCAAAGCGCAGGAGCACGGCGTGAAGCGGAGGGAGGGGTGCGGTACAGCGGGGGTTACACTGTTTGCAAAGCGCAGGAGCACGGCGTGAAGCGGAGGGAGGGGGTGCGGTACAGCGGGGAGTTACACTGTTTGCAAAGCGCAGGAGCACGGCGTGAAGCGGAGGGAGGGGGTGCGGTACAGCGGGGAGTTACGCTGCTTGCGAAGAGCAGGAGCACGGCGTGAAGTGAAGGGAGGAGGTGCGGTGCAGCGGGGAGTTATGCTGTCCGCCAAGCGGGGTGGTGCGGTGTGGAGGCCGTGCGATGTGGGGAACAGGGACGGCTTAGCGTGAAATAGAGGAGGCGCCTGTCGTACAAACTGGCTGTCCGCGCAACCTGGGCAGCAGAGGTGGTGCAGACTAAGGCTTCATCTGAAACAGCCGGGACTGCCCACAGAGCGTGCCGACATCCTAACTTGGGATTCGCTACAAGCAACTATGCTGGATCATACCCAGAGCGCATAAAAGCCCAGCGTATTTGTCATGAATGACTGGCAGGGACTTGAGCGTTAAGCAACAACTGCACGCGAGGTCATTTGCCAGCAATTACAAAGACAATCTTATTTTCTGGAGTGTGTGAAGGCACGTCAAGAGCTTTGGACGGTTGAATGAGAAGGCAAGCAACGACGTTCACCCACTTTTAAGGAACGTTGAGATGTCCTCCAGCTGGGGGATGTTGTCCTCCCGGTAACCGCAGTGCTCGATCAGCAGCGGGAAGGCCCGGTTATGCTCCTTGCAGGCGTGCGTGGGGTACAGCTCGGTGAGTCGGCGGAACACTTTGCCCCACGTATCGACGTCATCCTTGCTGTACTCGACGCGCGGTATGGGCGTGCCGCTGGAAATGACCCACGGATGTCGCTGATGGAGTGCGTAGTGAGCCATGCGGTCAGATTTAGTTGCTCATTGACTCACATTGGCCATGGGCTAAACTTACGTCCGTCTACATCGGCTGCGCGTCCACAGCTAGTGCATTCATGACGAAGCAGTGATCTCGATCAGTTGCCGATCGTCACCGTTTTCATCACCACAGCATGCTATATTCTGTTTTGCCATCTTATGCAAATTTCGCTACATGGTTTTCGTTCTTTTTTGCCATGGCCCTGACAAATTTATTAAAAGAAGTTTATCTAACATCGCGTGCCTTCAGAACTCAACACATCACGCGAGCAAGTACCATGAAGTGTCACGGCTCCGGCCGGACCCTCCGCGGATACAGGCGATATCGACCCGACTCTGTTACTGATAATGGGGTATGATACATGACTCACTGTTTGTAGTTGTAAGCGATGTCGGCGAACTCCTTGCGCCGCTTCCTGTACTCGACGTCGGTGAAGCCGGGGTGGTCCGAGTCGAGCTCACTGCCGTAGGACAGGATCTGGTCCGCGAACTTGTCGAGGTCGGAGATCTTCTGCGGATACCAGGGCACCACGCCCGCCGCTGCCCGGCGCACATCCCAACCAGCCAGTTAGTGCAGACCACGGTCAATAGATCGCGGTGTTTTTGTTCATTTTGTTCCCCCTTTACTCTAAACACATGGTGATTTTAGGAACTCGTCTTCGGGGAGGCGTTTCGCGAATCTCGTAGCTCCCCTTCGCTCAAGAGAAAACTCTGGCACTTTCAAAAACAATTGTAACGTGCCGTGATTGCATAAAAGTTCACCTTTCAACCTTTACCACCTTTAGGTAAGACCCTGCAATAACGACGTGACGCGTTCGATTTACTTGAGAGAAATAGTTAGAGATTTTGGGATGTGGACGTCGCCGCCCACGGTTCAACGAAACCTACGTGGGCTGCGGACACGCCAAAGAACCATTGGATCACAAAATTAAGTACAGCAATCGACACGTAGTCGAATTGCCGAAGGCAACTTAGCAAAGAAGGTGTAAACTTGATATTCAGTGACCCAGGCCTCAGTCCCCCCCCCCCCCCCCCCCCTCTCAAGAGCGAAGATAAACTTCAACGACAACAAAAGTGAAGAAGATCAACAACAACAACAAAAGTACACCAATCAACACGCCGTGGTCGATTTGCCGGTGCTAAAGTACGGAACGGTAGGTCATGACCGTTGTGGCCTACGGGCCACAGGTCAACAGAGTCCAGACATGTCCAAATTGCGCCAAGCGTGCTTTCTTTAGCGCCGGTGTGGGCTGCTGACACGTCTGGTCGCCCGCGCGCTGCTAGTAAAGCAGCGTTTCACTGTGAATGATTTTGCTGTGTACTGGTGGGGAGAGGGCAGGGTCGCGGTGGAGAGTGGGGGCTGGTGTGACTGAGCCCCCTACCCTGAGTTAACATGTTACGATAGCCCCTGCTCAGCCGGCGCCATGCCCGGGTGACACATCCCCATGCCCTGTGCTTCGCCACGGACCTGTTTTGGACGGCGCGACAGATTACGATAATGTGCTGAGAGGTTAGTTATGCAACGAGCCAAATTGAAATGAGCTTGGGTTGAACCCAGCGGAGTTGCCTTGTGCCAGTCTCGAGAGAGCAGCGCCAGAGGCCCGCTTTCAGCTGGCCTCCACTGTGCCGCGGGCTGGCGTGTCTGAACGCCATCACGCCGGCATCGTGTTCCAAGTCAGCCCTCTGCGCCTCGGTCGGACTCTAGATCGTGCACTCGGCGAACCTGCCGTGGCCGGCGCCGCCCGTCATCGGCCTGCACTCAGCCTGCATCGGCGTCCGACCTTTCCAGCCTGGGGCAGCGCCCGGCATAGCTGCAGTTCCCACGCCCGCCGAATGGGCGTCAGAGTGACAGCAGCTGGTCACGAGAGACGTCATGGAACTGAGGTCAGAGAGCAGAATGGGGTCGTTTCGGAGCACTGCATGATGCAGCTGCGACCGGGTGGGCGTCCGTCGCTCTTCCCTGCCAGCACCCAGTTGGGGCTGTTCAGTGAGGTAACACCGCGGCCCGGCGAGGCGCTGACGGCCAGGTGACGACACTGCGAGTGATAGCTGTTCCTGCCGACGGCCCGGCCGGCTATCGATCACAAGCCAACGGCTGCCTGGAGAAGCCCCAGGCCCGCCTGTCCCAGCTCGGGCAGATGGGGCAGGCGATAGTGGCGCGCCGGCTCGCCACTCAAGGCCGCAGCCGGCCGCGGCGCCGCAACGCCTCACCGGCATTGTTCTTGTAGTTTCTGGAGACGATCTGGAAGTAGGTGGACTTCTCTCGCAGCTCCTCCAGCGCTTTGCTGACGTTGGGCGACTCGGTGCTGATCTCCAGAATGAATTCGTACTCGTCGCTGCGGTGGGAGGACCGCGACTCGATGTGCTCCAGGTTCACTTTGTTTTTCTGGAAGTTGTTGGATTCATTTGTAACGGAAGCAGTTGTGTCTGTGGCTCAGGAGCTAATCCAATAGTTATGTCAGTGTGATTTGGTTGTTACGGAAGCAGTTGTGTCTGTGGCTCAGGAGCTAATCCAATAGTTATGTCAGCGTGATTCGGTTGTTACGGAAGCAGTTGTGTCTGTGGCTCGGAGCTAATCCAATAGTTATGTCAGTGTGATTTGGTTGTTACGGAAGCAGTTGTGTCTGTGGCTCAGGAGCTAATCCAATAGTTATGTCAGCGTGACTCGGTTGTAACGGAAGCAGTTGTGTCTGTGGCTCAGGAGCTAATCCAATAGTTATGTCAGCGTCAGAATAGATACATAAATGGGAAACAAGTCTGGTGCAACCGCCAGGAGTTGAGGCGAGCAATTTGTGCTACATCATGTGTCTGTGGCTCAGGAGCTAATCCAATAGTTATTTCAGTGTGATTTGGTTGTTACGGAAGCAGTTGTGTCTGTGGCTCAGGAGCTAATCCAATAGTTATGTCAGCGTGATTCGTTTGTAACGGAAGCAGTTGTGTCTGTGGCTCAGGAGCTAATCCAATAGTTATGTCAGTGTGATTTGGTTGTTACGGAAGCAGTTGTGTCTGTGGCTCAGGAGCTAATCCAATAGTTATGTCAGCGTGATTCGGTTGTAACGGAAGCAGTTGTGTCTGTGGCTCAGGAGCTAATCCAATAGTTATGTCAGTGTGATTTGGT